TTAGTAGAATGTTCATGTGCCTCTTTGGCAATGTATTCAAAAATTGAATCACTAAATAAATGAGCATTTGAACTATATGTACTAATTTTTTGTAATAAAATGAAAAACTTCCCTAAATTCATTGTTTTTAGAAATGTTCTGTGTTCTTTATCAAATATTCAACTAAATTATGGGTCCCAAATTTTCATAATACAGGAGACAGCAAATTACCACTCATGGCATAAATCTGTCCAGGCATCTATTTTTGACCAGCCTGCGAACTGTTAGTCAAATGGCACCCAACCCCCACACTTCTTGACTTAAGGTGGTGACCATTAAGTTTTGGTTTCCCAAGATTAGGTTCAGCTTCCCCCTCATGACACAAAATCTCTGTGATGTAGACCAATAAACTCCCACCAGCTGACCCCAACGAATCCATAACTGATCAGCTCGTGCCAAATGCCTTAACAGGATATATAAGCCAGAGCTCCCAGCCCGCGCTGCTGCTCTCTCACTCTCGAGGGCAGCCACCCGATGCCGCTAAATAAATCTGTTGGTTGGGTATTCACTTCTTGGTGTGGTTGTCTCTTCCCCTAAGGAACTCGGTGGTCTTTTACAAACTAAGAATGTTACCAAATTTTTTGATCATTGAAAAAAATCAAAAGACTAATATTTTGTAATGTGAAAAGTATATAAAGTTCAAATTTCACAGTTCATAAATAAATTTTCATTGAGTCATACATAACCATATTAATTTGTTCATATGTAATCTTTGGCTGCTTTTATGCTCTAAAGGCAGAATGGAATAGTTTTGACAGAGACTATATACTTTGCAAATTTTGGTGTTTACTATCTAGCCCTTCACATAAAAAGTTTGCCAACCTGTTTTAGTACAACATAAATAGAGTAAGTCACCTCAGAAACCATTCCAATGCCTTATGGATTTAAAAGACATTCTTCAGGAACAGTGGCTCAAATACAGATAGTTTTTGGTGAATTCAATTTCATTTAGCCCTTTTTCTAGTGTTTCTGAGATTTTTGAACCAGTTTCCTCTGATGTTTCAATTTTGTATGTGGCACCCTCAAGTGGCTAGATGCTCTATTCTCTGGAACTGCTCAGATCCTGGAGTGACGTCAGGGGTCACACTGGAACAGTGCTTATGCCTAAGGGGCAGAAAGAGCTCTTTCCTGCTTTGCAGCTGTTGTGCCTGTCTCCACTGTCAGAACCAGTGGGCTGAGTACACAGGTGTAACCCTATGCACTTTTTGTTTGTAGCTGTGGTTGGCAGGTCCTCCTGTTGGCAGGTCCTCCTTCTGCTGGCCTGACACCAGATCAGGGACTGCTGATTTGCAAGACAGTGCCAGTAGGCCTGGAGCAGGTTGTGTATCACAGTGGGAGGCCTTGGAGCTGAGCAACTAGCCTGAGGGATGGAGTGTCTGAAGCTCTGGAAAGTTTCCAACCTCCTGGGCAGAGTGTGCCCAGCAATCCTGCCCACTTATTCTGTCCCCTGTGCAGCAATGTCTATGCAAACACCGCCCCTTCAGCAGCCCTCTCGCTGCTAGGAAGCCTCTCAGACTGCTTGCCTTTCCTTTGTCCCATGGCGGCTGGATGTGGATCCGGATGTGTCCTTCAGAAATGACTGGAATCTCAGTCTCAACATATTCTGCCTCTCTTAGCTTTCCAACCACACCAATCTCCAGAGCACCATGCAGTATAGGTCTGTGCTCCCAAAGAAGATCTCCAGGGCTGGGTGTTCAGCAGTCCTAGGCTTCCACCCCCTCCCCGCTCCATTTGTCTTCCTCCTGCCAGTGAGCTGGGGTGGGGAAAGGGCTTGGGTCCCACCTGATCAAGGCTTTGGTATGTTATTTTGTTTCATGAGGTCTGCTCTGTTCTTCAGGTGTATGCAGTCTGGTGCAGTCTTCTTTCCTGTTGCTCTTTTAGAATTAGTTTTTTATTAACTATATTTTCATATTATATGTGGTTTTTAGGAGTTCTCTTTCTCACCTCTCATGACACCATCATGAATCTCTGACTT